GTGTGTGTGTGTGTGTGTGTGTGTGTGTGTGTGTGTGTGTGTGTGTGTACATGTTGCCCTCTGTTTAAAGCTCTTCTGGGGTTCTTGAATATACTCAGCACCTCTCTCCACCTGGGGTCCCAGCAGCGAGAAGACAAGTCGTGTTCTTCTAAGCTGCAAGAACAGGATAAATAAGAGACCGGCACTTCCATTCCGAGGGAAGAAAATAACAGTGAAGGAACCACCAAGCCCGAGCAAGATGAAACCTAGCAGGAAAAATACATGCCTCCCAAGACTTCTCTGCAGCTCCATGCTCCACTCTCCGGGCCTGGAGAGACCCCTGAAGCCTGCAGTGGTGCAGAACGCCTTCCCCTCTGTCTTGAAGCATAGCACATTCTCAGTGTAACAACGGCAGCCCCGCTTTCTGCTTGCAGAATCGTGGAAATCCAGCAGCTTTTCCTCGCCCTGTCCTGAATCTGTCCATCCCAGTCCCGGCTGGCAGCATTCTGCTGACAGGACATTCTTTAAGGCCTTGTGAATCTCCTAGTTCTATCAAAAGAGCGTTCTGAAGACCAGGTCATCTGTCTGCACTCCTCGCTCAGTTTTATCACTTCAACCACCATTTAGATGTATTCTTCCCATGGTGCTAAGTTAAATGACTTTTGTGACCTGGATAGGCCAGGAGGCTCTCAAATAATTATGTGCTAACTTGCTTTCGCTTAACAGATCTTGCCTCTGTCTTCCCTTTCTTCCCTGGCGATGCAACACCAGCTCAACAACACCCTTAACACTCTGCTTGAAAATCTCAGCTAAACACCCAAGGCTCTCACTCCTCATTATACTTTCCACCGGAACGGCAGAACACCATTCTTTCCAGGTCTCTGCTCCATTACCGTGGGGAAGCGTTTCCTTCCATTTCTAGGAAAGTGTTTTCACCTGCCCCCCCAACACCCCTGACCCCAAGCACCTGCATAGTTGACATCTCTAAACATCTTTCAGAACACATTATCAAGGGCCACCTCCTGTGCATAAAGTTAGCCACGCCCACAAAATGCCTTCCCAGCCACACCTACATTAGGGTTTGATTAAGCCACTCCCAGACATGTGGGCACATACAACTAGCCCCTGCCTGATAAAGGATCAGCTCTGTGGGGAAAATGGAGCAGAATATCTTGCAGTTTACACAGGAGCATTGGATGGACATGGGTGAGACAAGAATGTCACTCAACAATGTATAGAGAGGTCTTAATAAGTAGACACAATTTTATTCGTCAGCTGAAAAGAAGATATTAAATTTGAAAAAGATAATATATACTTAAAATCACTCTATAAGCCGGTATATTAGGAGTGGGAAGTTAGAGACAAGGGAAGGAATGATGAGTGTGAAAATGAAAGAAGAGGAGGAATTTCAAAGAAAGAAAAATTTAAACGTAATGAGAATAAAGGGATGGGAAAACAGAA